GGAGGGGGAGGAAGAAGAGGAGGAGGGGGAGGAAAAGGAAGAGGAGGTGGTGGAGGAGGACTGCGGGTTTAAATGCTCTCTGAGCTTGGTGGCTTACTTGCAGACATTTCATGGCCAACTAGGGAACAGCATCAGTGCTAGAAAAGGGAGGGGCTTGCAGAGAGGAAGAGGAGGAGGAGGAGGAGGAAGAACAAAGGTACTTTCTACACAGCCCCCCTTCTCGTCCCCAATCCCCACCCGGCCTTCCTTACTTTGCCATTGCGGTTGTGGATCCGCAACGGGATGGAGGGCGAGTTGAGCAGCAGCCAAAACTCGTTGTCAAACATTTTCTTCTTCAGGCGCTCCATGGCTCGGCTCTGGCCTTTGTTGGCCTTCTGGGGAGGAAGAAGAGGAGGAGGAGGAGGAAGAGGAGGAGGAGGAGGAGGAGGAGGAGGAGGAGGAGGAGGAGGAGGAGGAGGAGGAAGAAGAAGAAGAAGAAGAAGAAGAAGAAGAAGAAGAAGAAGAAGAAGAAGAAGAAGAAGAAGAAGAAGAAGAAGAAGAAGAAGAGAAAAGAAAGAAAGAAAGAAAGAAAGAAAGAAAGAAAGAAAGAAAGAAAGAAAGAAAGAAAGAAAGAAGAGGACTTCAGACCGTTGATCCAAACCTCCCAGTTGGACCCTCAGCCAAAAGGGCTTTAACCCCCCTCCTCGCTTCTGTCTCTCCGCAAGGAGGACTTAGGGAAAAATGCGCCGAGACCAGTAAGAAAATACGAACTGAAAATATGACGATGAAAACGAAGCAGCATCAGAAATAAACTCAAGACGGCCTTTTCTTGATCCTCTTTCATACCAGTAGCCCTCAACTTACAACAGTTCACTCTATGACCGTTCGAAGGTACAACCGCACTGGAAAAAAAAGGGACTTACGACCGTTTTTTCACACTTAGGGTCCTTGTGGCAACCCCTGCGGTCACATGATCAACAATTCAGACCCTTGGCAATTGACTCGTATTTATGACGGTCGCAGCGTCCTTCTTTTGCGACCTACTGACAAGCCAAGTCCAAAGGGAAGCTGGATTCACTTAACAAACGAAGGCTTTGCTGGGCTGGAGTATTCTGACCCAAACCTGGTTCCAAGGAAACCACCATGAAACAGGTAACAGCAAAACCTTTTAAGGATTCTTTACAAATTCCGTTCCTTCCCGGTTCAAAGGCCGTTTCAAATTCATTGTCCCAGATAAGAACGAGCCTTGTCAAGGCTGCCAAGAACGCTGGATAAAGTTGCCAAGAACTATTTCAAACACAAAAAAAGTCTCCAAACACAAACTAAGAGAGTCCGAACATCCACAAAGCTCGAGTGCAAAAACGTCTTTGCTTCCTGCAAAGAACTCCGGTTTCTCAGCTGGCTTTTATCTCTTGAGGGAGGGGCCAACACCTTGCAGCCTTACTCCCGAGTCGCTGGTGCTGCTGTAGCTGCTCTTCCCTTCGAGCGGCCCTGCGCGCACGCGCCCTGGGCACAGGCTCCTCGGGGGCCTCTTCATCGCTGCTGCCAGCCTCCACAACCTCCGAAGGCAGCCTGCCACTCCCTGATGGTCCTGGCCCCATTCCTGCATCTCACGCGGGCTCCTCATCGCGGTCCTCGCTCTCTGAGACCTCAGCCGTCCTCACCTGCTGCCGGCGAACCACAGCAAGGTCCCACAAGGGGAATCACGTGACCTCAGGACACGTCGGCCGTCATAACTGTGAACCGGTTGCCAAGGGCCTGAGTTTTGATCATGTGACCCTGGGGAGGCTGCGATGGTCGTAAGTGTGAAAAACGGTCCCAAGCCCCTTTTTTCAGTGCCGTCGTGACTTTGAGCGGTCGCTTAAACGAAAGGTCGTACGTTCGAGGACCCCAGCACCTTTCTCTATGAAGTGGGACTAAGCCGCCCGCCCGCCAGCCCTCCACTGACCTCCTTCTGCACTTCGCTCTTCATGGAGGAGATCTTGATCTTCATGTCTTCCAGGTCGTGGTCCGGCATGGCCTGGACGTGTGGACACAAGTCGGACTCTTCCAAGGACGGGAAGACCAGCTCCGCCAGGGGGATGTACCACTTGCACTCGTACTGCTGGTTTTTCCTGCACAGAAAGACCGCCGAGCTTGGCCTGGGACGACTCTAGAACCCTCCGGCCCAGCCCAAGGATGACCGAGGACCAGCCTGCCAACAGGTCGGGGATGGGAGGCCACCAGGAGATCCCAGAGGGCCCACTTCCCTATTGTTGCCAAGAAAAATATGTTCTGTACTCTTCTATTCTCTATTCTCTTCTCTGTTCTCCTATTCTATTCTATTCTATTCTATTCTATTCTATTCTATTCTATTCCATTCCATTCCATTCCATTCCATTCCATTCTAATTTCTATTCAGAGGGTTGGATTAGAGGACCTCTAAGGTCCCTTCCAACTCTGTTATTCTGTTCTGTTCAATTCTATTCTATTGTTGTTGTGTTCTATTCTGAATTCTATTCTGTTCTGAATTCTATTCCATTTTGAATTCTATTCTATTCTATGTCAAATTCGATTCTATTCTGAATTCTATTCGATTCTATTCTGAATTCTATTCTATTTTGAATTCTATTTTATTCTATGTCAAATTTGATTCTATTCTGAATTCTATGTCAAATTCTATTCGATTCTATTTTGAATTCTATTCTATTCTGAATTCTATTCTATGTCAAATCCTATCTGAGCCTACAGTATTTTGAATTCTGTTCTAATTCTATTCTAAATTCTATTCTAAATTCTATTCTATTTTATTTTAGTCACTCCTTTCCTTTCCTTTCCTTTCCTTTCCTTTCCTTTCCTT